CCCCCAATTGTCATGGCCAGGAATCTGCAATCAGTACTGCACTGTGTCTGGGATAATTGTCTTGCATTCTGAGTTTCAGTACTTGCTCAAAATTCCATAGTCTTACGGGGTTTAATGCAGGTTTTCCCTGTCAGACTTCTCGTCAGTTGTTTCTTTCAGGGATTTTTTTTCTTCTTTTTTCCTTCCCATTTATTATATAAAACCAGAACTATACTAGAATCTTTCTTAAAAGTCTTAATTACCCTTATTAAAGCAATACCTTATGTCAAATGAATTTCACATCTACCTTTTTGGATAGTCAGATGCTGAGCTTAGGGTATGAAACTCTAGAGGATCTCACTAAATTGAGTGAGCATAATTGAAAGTAATGCATGCAGAGTAGTTTCAATTTACAAAGAGATCTTGGAATCATTGTTGCCAGTTTTATTGCAGCCAAAAAGCCAACAAAATATAGGCACTATAAGGAAAGGTATTGAGAACAAGAAAAGGGACATGATTTTTTTTGTCATAGAAAACCTTGGTGCACCCCCGTCTCGAAGACTGTGCAGTTTTGGTCTCTGTGTTTCAAGAAAGGCATAGTGGGCTTCTGAAAGGTCAGAGGATGGAACAGCTGCTTTATAAGGAGGATGTGGAAAAATTTGTGGTGATTTAAGATGGAGATGGAAAGACTGAAGGGTGCTATACTAGCAGTTTTCTAAATTATTATGAGGGCAGTGGGTAAAGCGAATTCCGAGGTACTATTCAGCAAATCCTGCAGTACTATAACTGTGAGTCATTTGATGAAACTAGGAGGAGATGGGATTAAAAACTGATAAATTTTTTTTATGCACTTAGCAATGAAGTCTGCAATCTAGAGATAAACAAGAAAATACTAAACATATTTTTGAAGCAATCAAAACCTGGACTGTCCCTTAGAGATGCTATCTAACTTCATGAAGAAATTTTTAGTCTGCAGATTAAGCAGGTTCCATTAAGCCAATTGTTCTACACCTAGTGGACATGAAAATAATTGATATATGATTCTCTTTATAAAAACTGTTATGTTCTCTTCCTTCAACTTATTCTTCTAAACTAAATAAATCTGATTAATGTCTTTCTCTGTAGGTCATGTTTTCTAAACGTACTATTGTTTTTTGTTCTCTTCTTTAGCCTATCTGACATTTCTTAATGTCTGTCTGAAAGTATTGTGGCCAAGTTGGCCCAATACTTCAGCTATATCCTCAGGAGTATTTATCAACACAGAGTAAATGCCTCTTTTTACACAAATAACCCTTAGTTTAATTTCACTATTTTATATAAAAAAATAAGAACTATCATAACATGTCATACTTAATTCCGTGTAACCTATTTTCCTGCCTCCAATCAGACCAGTATGTGATTCTTGGGGAAGAGTATATGGACAGGCAAGTGCGTAACTTTAGTCCTCTGGAATGCTGTCCTAGGTTGTATGGTTTGTGGCTCAGGAATTTTACGGGACAGTGCTAATGTTTTTGCACTTAATGGCTTGGATGTAAATTTATTCCGTAATTTTGGTTGTTCAGCCATCATTGAAGTTACACGCTGCAGGAAAGAAAATGTACATCTGCAGCATTTTTCACATTCCCATCTTTCCTCACAGGAATTTAGTAATGAAAAGCAGCACTTTATGGTTTACATTTTGTGTATTAGCCCGATAAACAAATTTAATAGATTGACATTAAGTTTATTTTCAGTGATCATGTTCTTGGAGCTAACGATCATATTCTCAGTGTCTGTATGCATTTCAAAATGGTCGTCTAGCCAACTGAATGAGGTGGCATGGCTCTGTGCAGAACACCTCTGGAACAGAAGGGAAGGAAGTAAATAGTTCAGGCCCAGAAGAGCGGCAGTACTGATAGGAGAAAGAAAATTGCAAGGAATTTTTCCTCATTTTTCAAGTAGTAATAGAATTCTGATTACAATGTCAAAGGCAGTGTAGTGATACTATTTCTCCATACTCGGTCTCTGCAAAATGTAAATAAAGGAACAGGTAAAATCTTGAGTATTCTGCTCTGTTCATGAATTGTGTTTGTCAGAGGTCTAAGAACATTACTAAAATAAATATAACAGGAGACATACAGAAAAATATATTTATACAGTTTAATCTCTTCTAAATAGATAGTATTCTAAATATCTTTATTTTAGCATTAAAACTATGATTTTTTATTTATTTATATCAGTATCAAAATCTAGGTGTGAACTTGGAGAAGCTTTATAATGTAATGATGGACCTTGCTCATGACTTACAGGTAAGATATAAAAAGTAGTTACTCAGATATAACTTCGGAGGTATTATCATGAACTAAAGAGAGTTAGTGATGTGCTTCTCATTCAAATCAGCATCTCTACTCGAGTTAAATAGAAGGCTTCCATCATTACTGGTTTACAATGCTGGTCAACATGTAAAATAAAGTTGCCCGTCAAATTTGCCATTTTTTCCAGAAGAAGGAAATGGTTAGTCTCAAGGTTAATCTTTAGAAAAAACTTTTCCTCTGCAACAGTTAACTAAATATTTAGATGAAGATTCTAAGAACGGGAAATGTTCAGAATATTGTGACTTTTCTTTTGGTATTTTAAAGCTATATGAAACAGTTTAAAAAGTATTAGCAGAGTTAAAACAGAGTGTAGCTGGTTTTTTTCGATGTATTCCTTGGGCACAAAAACTCTCAGCGTATCTTTTGCTGTAGGTTGTATTAGCCAAACACTGGTCAAACACTGGAACAGGCTTCCCAGAGAGGTGGTCGATGCCCCGAGCCTATCAGTGTTTGAGGCATTTGGACAATGCCGGTAATAATACGCTTTAACTTTTGGTCAGCCCTGAATTGGTCAGGCAATTGGACTAGATGATCGTTGTAGGTCCCTTCCAAAGTGAACTATTTTATTCTATGTTAGCCCTTATTGCAGTTCAGAATGCGTCTCAAGAAGTCTTTTAGTCTTTTAGTGTTTTTTGTGTGTGTTTTCTCCCTGTAATCATATACTTGGAAAAGTGTCAGAATTTAGGGATATGCTCAGGTTCTGGTGGAAGGTACATCATAGAATCCTAGGGGTTTTCCTTGAAGTTGATGGTAGCAAGTGTAGGGCTTAGACCATTAGTTGATGGAGCCATATTAATCTGGATATCTAAGTGGCCCAGCAGTATGATGAAACAATGTGTGAAGGAAGGCAACAGGGAAACACCAAAGAAACACTGAGAGCCAGCCAATGGGAGAAGTTTTTAGACAAGTGTTGCTGTCTGGTTGCTTCAGTAGTTAGAGAAGAAACAGACTTCCTGTTCTTTGTAACTAAATTGGGTACATAACCCTATCATCTTTTATTTTCTTCCTAATGAAAACAAAGTTATGAATTCTGAATGGTTGCTTAATTGTTCAAGTGAATAAAGAAAAAGGGATAACTGTATGTCCTATTATAATGGAGCTTGCTCTAAAAATAAACCATTTAGAAAAATGAGGTATGTATATTTCTTTATTGCTATTCCTGTACAAAATGATTACTATTACAAAATGTATTACTGTTCCCCACAAAATGAAATGATAATGGACTACAGCATTTAGATTCTATAATTCACAGTAAGTAGTATTTCATTCCATGAACAGTGTTGTCATATAAAAGGGGATTAAACAGAAAGTGGAATACTGCTTACTGGAAAATAGATCCATGTAATGACACTGCTATATGTTTTAAGATTAAAATTGGCTGATACTGAAGAATTTATTTGTATCTTGCTTTACAGGTTCAAGGTTTGTGGAAATTATTTTGCACGTTAGAGCTTCCACTTATCAAAATTCTGGCAGGTATGAAAGTTCAGTTCAAAATATGAATCTTCACTATTTTCACACAGCTGCTGACTATGCTCAAGTAGAATGTTATACCTCAGAATACTAAATGTTATCTTAGCCTCATAACAGCTGTATGAGTTTGAGTTTCCATTTTACAATCTAAGAAGCATGTAAGGTTGTCCTGGTTTCGGCTGGGATAGGGTTAAATTTCTTGCTAGTGCTGTGTTTTGGATTTAGTATGAGGAGAATGTTGATAACACACTGATGTTTTCAGTTGTTGCTAAGTACCCTCCTAGTCCAAGGACAGCTCCCATGCCTACTGACTGAGCTAGGTACACAAGATGGGAGGGAACATCATCAGGACAGCCAGCTCAGCTGGCTAATGGGGTATTCCATACCATGTGACGTCATGCTCAGTATATGAATGGTAGGCGTGATCCAGGAAGTACCGATCGCTACCTGGTTATCGGTCAGCGCGGGTGGTGAGCAATTGCATTGTGCATCACTTATTTTGTATATTTTATCGTTATCATTATTATTCTCCCTTTTCTGTTTTATTAAACTGTCTTTATCTCAACTCACGAGTTTTTCTCGCTCTTAACCTCCCGATTCTCTCCCCGTCCCCCTGGGGGGCGGGAGGGGAGTGAGTGAGCGGCTGCGTGGTATTTGGCTGCCTGCCAGGTTAAACCACGACAGTCCTTTTTGGCGCCCAACGTGGGGCTCGAATTGTCAATTGTAAGTGTTCTCAGTATATAATTGTATTTACAGTGATGGAAACACACAAAATACGTGTGAACAAACAAGAACTGAAAAAAACATCAGAGATTCTGGGGGTAAATTTTGTCTTTTTTTTCCTTTTGGAAATTGTATAGCATCATCTTTCTGCTTTTACTGAGGATAACTGATTAAAAAGAGGAGGAAGCTTTTTGTTTTGTCACATTTTACATGACAGTTTGGGGATTCCAGTATTTTTATTATTATAAACATAAGTAATGATATTTAAATTTTAGAATACTTCCATGTTTATTTAGGCAAGCAAAAAAGATACATTTGCTTCATTAGCCTTGCCCCGGAACTGAGATTGCTTTGCAAAATGCACAGGTCCTTTTGGGTTATGTGTTGTAGAGTAAAAATTGTAATGACTCTTTCTGAACTTAGAGTTATCAGTAACCATCTTCCTGAGAAGTGATAGATATTTCTATCTCTTTTTGTAAATAAAATACTCTTTACAACTTACGTATTCTGAGAGTTCCAAGTTTGCCGTTTCCCCATTTATAAAAATAGCTACAAGAGAATCCTATTTTGTAGCATAAAATCTGACTACATAATCATAGTGGTCCACAGGTTATTAATTTACTAGAATAATTTGCATAGCTCTGTTTCTCACAAATCTCTATAGTCTTCAGTAACCTAAATTATTTTCCCACAAATTTTGGTACTTTTTACTATAGTAAATCCCCTTCCCAGGTCATGAAGAAATAAAGATTAAAGAGTATATAAGCAATCTACTAAATAAAATGTTGATAGCCAGCAATGATTACACATTATCAAGTACCCTATTTTTAAATAGAACTCCAATATACTCATTAAGCTAGGAAGTAGCAGATATTAAAGAAAATAATAATATAAACAGAATAATTCTGATGTACTAATGTATAGTTGCGACTCAAAGAGCTTGAACAGGAAGCTCATCAAGTTGCTGGAGAACGATTCCTTTTGACCAGCAGTAGTCAACTCAGAGAGGTAATATTTATATTATTATGTAAGTTGTAAGTTCTGTAAATTGTTATTAATAGAGAAGAATTATAAAGCATATAAAATTGTCCGTACAACTTCATAATTCTTTTTCTTCAATATTAATTATCTTATTTTCTGATTTTAATGGAGGACATACCAGCTTTTCCATAAATCTGGCAATGTTGGATAATCTGTATTTGAATATATTTACATAAATTATGCATTTGATTTTAGTAAATACACTACTTTTTCAATAGCTCAAAAATAAAGATTTGATCTTTTCAATTCTGTGTTAGTTCTCTTTGCTACAGTATGCTCTATTTTCCTTGAAATCTGTTTTCTAGACTTCAGTTCAGGCAGCAAATAATTTTCCTTTCTGTTTCAGCACTTGAAACATTTCTCTTATATATTTTTTTTCTTACTCTAGGTACTATTTGAAAAGTTAAAACTGCATACACTGTGTGAGAAAATTCACAGAACTGAAGTACAACAACTTGTGTCCACATCAGAAGTTGTGGTGAGATGCGGAAGGATTTTAAAACCATCTGCATGATTTAGCAAAGCTTCTAAGTTATATTCCAGTGAAACTGTGATTTGTCTAAAGTTTTCCTAACAATGTTGATTTATATTTGTATTGTACTAATCACACTTCATTTACTTATGCCAGAAATGAAAGTTGCACTCAATGATGGGGAAAAACAAACTAGCTACTGAAGCTAAACTTTAGCTATAAACCAGGGTTAAAAACTTTAGTACCAGCATGCATGTATGACCACCTTCCTCAAAGGAGGGAGACTTTCTTACAGATTTTGGTAGCTCAGTATGACTGACTGGGTCGGTGAAAGAGACCGCTGGTGAAAGAAAAGAATGTTAATGTAAAATCTGCTGGAGAAGGAAATAGCAACCCAGACTTTCTCTTTGCCGTCAGGAGATTTGGGCTAAAACCATGTTGTCATCTTTTTATGGACCCTTATTTTATTCCTGCTAGGTAAAGAGGTCTGTAGGAAATTATTTGATACCTGTGGTTTGAATCAGGAGTTGTCGCTTTCTTTGTATGGTCCAGTGTTTTACTTGTGTGCATGAATTTTCCTCAGGCTTTTTTTTTTTTCTCTCTGGGGAGATGCTTGTCTTCAGTAAGAGCAGTTGCATTTGGAGTCAGATCTGCAGGATCTTGATAGAATCTTGTTCCCTTAGAGCAATAATGACCAAACAGTTTAGGTACCTTGATACACCTGTAGAAGAGATCAAATATATCTTCAGATTCAGTGCAATAAATACTGTGCATATGAAGCTTCTTCAGTTCTCTCTTCTGTTAGTGTTGGAGCAGATAATTTTCAGCAATGCAGACGTTCATGTGTGATCCCACACAAGTGCAGAAACCTGCCAAAAACATTTGTCTAAAAATGCTGAAGTCAAGAGCAAACTGCAGACTTCTTGGTAATTTGAGGCAAATGTGGATGCCCTATCCTTTTCATAGAATCATAGAATCATTTAGGTTGGAAAAGACCTTTAGGATCATCGAGTCCAACCATAAACCTAACACTTCCAAGTCCACCATTAAACCATGTCCCTAAGCGCCACACTTGATACATCTTTTAAATATCTCTAGGGATGGTAACTCAACCACTTCCCTGGGCAGCCTCTTCCAATGCTTGATAGC